CAGAGACCACCTGGGATATGGAAATGACCTGCAACCCTGTTTTGCTCTTGCTCATGAACAGTGGTTGCCAGAGCACCTGAAGCATTCTGGGAATTTGGATTTGTTATTTCTCTCCAATGGCCCTGTAGTGGCAACAAGCAGTAGACAGAGACAGGATTTTGCCAGAAAACCCCAAAAGGATGATGTCTGCTGTTGTCGATTACTGGCGTCTCAACAAAGCTGTGTTTTATTTGTAAGTGTATTTGCATAGCTAGGAAGCATTTGCTGACAAGGAGAGGATGATAAGCCATATCAGTGCCAAGATAGGACTGGGAAAACAGGCTTATTAGGAGATGGTCTGCATCCTGAATGTCTGTGCTCAGCAAATTCACTCACCATGGCATATCTTCTCTTAAAACGTGGACACTGAAGAAAAAAATAAGGCTTCAGATCCCCATCAGCTGGCATAGTGTGTGCACATAGTAGGTTCTCGATAAACTCAGGCTGAATCTGTGCATGCGTTTTTGCCTATTGGGAGGCAAGGCAGAGCATCAGCATCCCAAGGAATGCTTTACACCCACCGTCTACCTGCCAAGTCTTCCACCTGCATTGAGAAGAGCACTGTGAAATGCTGGCCCTCAGAATTTTTTGCAAACGAGTAAGAAGAACAAATGCTGTGAGTGTGCCCCCTTCCTAGGCAGGGACATCCATCTAAGCTATTAGCTTCCTTGATTCTGTGGTTTCCTTGAACTAGAAAGGGATTGTTGGTGAATAAGGCCAGCATCTCAGGTGGTAACAAAAAACGGAGATTGGGAGAAATTGCATCATCTAAGTTGGCCTAGCGCAGCTCAGTGACCTGGGCAGGTTCCCGGATCTCCAGCCAGAATCTCTGGGAAATTGGAGGGTAGAAAGCACGATGGCACGGAGAGAGGTGCATGGCAGGACCAGTGGGCACTTAGTGGAGGCTGTGCTTAGATCCCAGCCCACCAGTACATGGCTGTCTGCTACCTCCAGTCCAACCCCAAGCCACTGGACCACTGTCTGTTTCTCTGATGGACTCATTCTTTCTTTGCCCACAGCCCCCTGTGGAATATAAGTGAAAAAAATCCAGTCATTTCGCTCTTATCTCATTGCCTGCCTGAGCTCTGTTTGCTGTGGATTAAAGCACATCTGGGTACTAAAAGCTACATGATTCTGTCTAATTACACACAAGCTCTTGGCCATTCTGGTTTTGTTGTTGTCATTCGTTTGCTTGTTTTAACCTTAGCCAAGTTTTCATTCTGAGCAGTGACAAGCTGTGGACTGGGAGGACACTGTACGTATTCTCCGCATCCCCCACCTGTAGACCTCCCTGTCCTGGCTCACTTAGCTCATGTTCCTAGACACAGTTGGCCCTGGCAGACTTGGGAGCCTTTACCATGAAAGTGCTGGGGAGGGGGCAGGAAGCGTGGTAGAAATGTGTATAAGATGAGAGGGTTGGTGGGCTATACAGAGGTAAGACCTAAGAACTGGTGTCGATATGCATCATCTTCAGAAACAAACCTGCCGTCTGCCCACTGCAAGACAGTGGGAGTGGGCAGGATGTGACTAATTTCTGGAATGTTCACTCAATTTTAAAAAACAAAGTCCATCCTATGGACTTGAGACAAGATGGGTCCGCCTCTGGCTCTCAACACTTCTCACCTTTCTATTGGCCACCTTCCTCCGGACCTTGGGCTGGATTCATAACTTATTCTAGTATTATTCTAATTGTTGCAGTTGTAAGTGATAGAAAGTCAGCTCACACTGTTTGAAGCAGATGAGGACCCTATGGGTTCAAGTGTTAGGAAGGATACTATGAAAGCTCGAAGGTCCTGTGTCAATGACTAGGAGACTGTCAACAGATGGTTCTCTGAGGCAGCTGCTGTCTCCCTCACTCTTGTTCTTTGTGTCTCATTCTCCCACTCTCACTTGAGCTCATACTTTCCTTCTCTCTCTGTTTTGCTCCCTCTGTCTCTCACCCTCTCTCTCACGCTGTCTTTCTCTTTTGAGTGCTTCCTGAAGATGCACACTCCATGTGCTAGGAAGATGGCAGCTGAGAACTCCATTTAGGTTGCTGAGCCTGCCTCAAACCCTATAGGACAGAGTGGAACTGACCCATAAGATTTCCAAGGCTGTACATTTTTGCTGAAGCAGAATGCCACATCTTTCTTCAGTGGAGGCTGCTAGATTTGAACTACCAACCTTTGGGTTAGCAGCTAGGTGCTTAACCACTATGTCTTAAAAACAAACTCACTGACATAGTGTCCATTCTAACTCACAGTGACCCTGCTCCAAGACTGTAACTCTTTACATGAGCAGAAAGCCTCATCTTTCTTCTGTGGAGTGGCTGGTAGGTTTGAACTGCTGACCTCGTGGTTAGTAATCCAGTGCTTAGCCTACAGCCCCATCCAGGCTCCTCACAACTGTAAAGAATTTCTGTCTCACAACTTCCATATAGACTTCCCGCAAGAGACTGGCTGCCTCAGGACCAATGCTATCTGGTGTCCCATGGCTGCCTCAGCTTCAGCCCTGAGTCAGCCTGTTGCTCAGAGAACCCAAGAAGGGTCAGAGGACAAAGCTCTTCCTGTTAGTGAAAAAGAACAGTGTCTGAGCCTCTAAACCCACCCTGGCTTTATACCCCAAACTGGACCTGAAACTGAAACTGAAGCAAATCAAATCCTACCTGGAAAAAAATGGCCTTTCAGTCCCTCTGAGCTCACTCCTATCCTCTCTGAATCTGCAGTGCTGGCGGGTCTCCTGGGGACCCCCACTACCAAGGCCTGGCTAGAGGTCAGCAGGCCAGGCTTCTTATAAGTGTTGCTATCTACTGTCTGAGTTTCTGAGCTGCTTATGGAGCATGAAGCACTAGGCTTCAGTACAGTGGTTAAGTAAGTGCTAACCGAAAGGTCAGTAGTTTAAGCCCAGCAGCCATTCCATGGGAAAAAGATGAGGCATTCTGCTTCCATCAATACTGACAGCTTTGGAAACACTGGATGGTGGTTCTACTCCGTCTCCAGGGTTCTGTGAGTAGGAATTGGCTCGATAGCAATGTGTTTGGGATTTCAGTTTGTGGCTAGGAGGAAGTAGAGTGCCCAGTGCGCAGGGCTGTAGTCAGTGCTAAACCCAGAGTTCATGGTGGTGTCCCGCCTGACAGAAAAGAGCTGGCCCCTATTACCATTGTGGTCCCTGGAGCCCACAGTCCCCTTTATGGGAATCTTGATGAAAAGTCCTAGAAGTAAACTGACCCACAGGAGGTCACGTTGGTCTCTCTGGACTCTCAGATATGAATGCTCTTCCTTCCTTTCTTTCTTTTTTAAAGTTTTTATTATGAATTGAGTAATAGTTTACATGGGAGAACATCGGTTTTACATGTCCTATCGTATTTCGTTTCATTGTAATGATTACAATCCCCTCAATATGTCATCACTCAACAATATTTGCTTCTATTCCCTCTGTTTTTTGGGGGGGAGGGTATACACAAAAACACTCAGGAATATATAATCATTTAAACAACCCAGAGGCACATTCTGAAAGCCAGCCTTCTGGCCACCAGCACACAGCCTTTCCCTTTCCATGAGTCTAGAGTCCTCAGCTACTCCCTCTCTCCATGTCCCCACCTCTGCCTCCATCTCTGGTGTCGCTGCTTCTCTGGATAGGATCCCATATTCCGCAGGATACAAATATTCTTTGTTGCTCTCAGGTCAGCCCCAATTCTTGGCTACAGAATGAAATGTTACCCAGCTATGCTCCATTGTTGTTGTTGTTGTTGTTGAGTGCCATCGAGTTGGTTCTGACCCATAGCGACCCTGTACGGGGTTTCCGAGGCTGTAAATCTTTACGGGAGCAGAAAGCCTCATCTTTCTCCCACAGAGCAGCTGGTAGTTTCGAACTGCTGACTTTGTGGTTCGCAGCCCGATTCGTAACCACTATGCTACCAGAGCTCCTTCTTAGTCGTTAAATGGTTGAGAGCCTTCCAGCCTAGGAGACTCATCTTTCTTGGCACTCACTATCTCAGACAGTATCTGTTGTGATCCATGGGATTCTTATTGGCCTATTTTCATAGGCCGATTGTCTGACCTCTCATCCTAGTCTGTCTTCACTGGAAGCTCTATTGAAATTAGCCCACCATAAGTAATATGTTGACATAGCTTCTGATACTATAGCAACGTGGTGGTCATCACAGTGGGACATGCTGACAGAGGAGTAGTGCTAGATTCGTATACTTGTTGTTATTGTTGTTGTTGTTGTTAGGTGCCATTGAGTTGGTACCAACTCATAGCAACAACATATACCATATACAACTCATACACAACAGAACAAAACAATGCCCGACCCTGCGCCAACCTCACAACTGTTGCTACACTTGAGCTCATTGCTGCTGCCACTGTGCCAATCCATCTAGCTGGGGGTCTTCCTCTTTTTCTCCGACCCTCCACTTTACCAAATATGATAGCCTTCTCCAGGGACTGATCCCTTCCGATAATATGTCTCAAGTATGAGAGTCAAAGTCTGCCCATCCTGGTTTCCAAAGAGCACTCTGGGTGTACTTCTTCCAACACAGATGGATTTGTCCATGACACTTCCAATGCTCTTCACCATAACTCAAACACATCAGTTCTTCTACGGTCTTCCGTATTCATTATCCAACCTTCAATATGAGGTGACTGAAAATACCATGGCTTGGGTCAGGTGCACCTTAGTCCTCAAATTGACATCTTTGCTCTTCAACACTTTAAAAAGGTCTTGTGCAACAGATTTGTTCAATGCAATACGTCGTTTGATTTCTTGACTGCTGCTTTCATGAGTGTTGATGGTTGACCTGAAGAAAATGAATTATTTGACAACTTTGATCACACTAGGAATTTTAAACAGTTGTGTGGTTTCAAACCAGCCCTGGGTGCTCCTCTTGCTGTGTAGGGAGAAGAGCATTTGATCACATTGATAGTCTCCCAGACCTCACTCTCTAGGTTTTCTCACTCTCCCCCTCTCTCCACCTTCAGGGGTGTACACATTTCTGACCAGCACTCTGAAGTCTCTGGACGAGAAGGACCATATCCACCGCGTGCTGGACAAGATCACAGACACCCTGATCCACCTGATGGCCAAGGCAGGCCTCAGTCTTCAGCAGCAGCACCGACGCCTGGCCCAGCTCCTCCTCCTCCTCTCCCATATCAGGCATATGAGGTGAGGCATCCAGCTTTCCAGCAGGATTGGCCTGAAGAGAGCAGGTCCCCCAAACACATGCCACGGCCCAGCCAGGAAGGGTGGTTGTGAGAGACAGAATGTCTGGATACAGATAATGCACAGGCTCCAGCCCCTGGCACCTAAAAAGCATAAATACCATGGATAACAGAGGCAGGAAGCATGCAATGTGTCTTGGCACCAACAAGTGCCACAGATTCAGTTTGAGGCATGTGTAAAGCCTTGTAGCCTGGAAGAGGGTGAGGTGTGCAGGAGGGTGGGACAATGTTTGGTTGTTCACTTTGTTCCATCCATCCATTGAAGGCATTAGGCACATACTTGGACACTCATGCCTCATACTCCCCCTACTTACACTTGGCAATCCAAAATGAGAACCTTTCTGGTCACATGCTTCAGGTGACCATCAAAACTGACTCTTCCATCCTTCTTCAACCACTCTTGTCACCTCTTCGCCATTACCCAGCCCAAGCCACCATCATTGCCTCCTGGATTCATGCACCAGAAACTCCTAGATCAGGTAAAAGTGGGTTTTCTTCAAGGTAAGGAAATCGGGCTAGGATCAGTTGTTATTCTGGACCATTGTCCCCTGCCCTGTCGGTGATATTCATCAAAAGAAACAACCAGTAAGAGAAGGAACATGCATTCTCTGGGTGCAGCCAGCCACCCTACCCACGTCTGTGTCACAGGGATTGTTCAGGAATCCCTGGATCTGAGATTGCAGTGACTTTCTTCCAATTTTGCAAAGCGGAAGCTATCGTGCCTTCAACCTTGAGCCTTTCTAACCTGTTCTTCCCAAAACCAAATCTGATCATGTCATTCCCTTGCTTCAAACTTTTCAATGACTTCCCATCACTTTTAGATAAAAGTATCAACCCCTTTATTTTGATTGTGTTCCTCCTTAGGATTCAACACCTCCTGAACTGTCAGGGACCTCCTCCTAGTCTAGGGATTGGCCGTATGAGTTGTTCAACAAGTCCTCTGGGAAGGCTCTCCTTCAGGCTGCACATTGGCTGCACAGCTCTGTGTCTCTCAGCTGGGCTGCCTCACATATCTGTGGGTCAACTGATGGAGGGTGAGCACAACTGGGAGACTCTTCTTCAAGTTACTGGCCTGCAGCTTGGCCAGGTGATGTCCTCCATATATCTCCTATTCTGCTTGTATCCAGCAGATTGTTGTTGTTGTTGTTGTTGTTAGGTGCCATCAAGTTGGTACTGACACATAGCACCCTTATGCACAGCAGAACGAAACACTGCCCGATCCTGGGCCAACCTCACTACTGTTGCCACGCTTGAGCCCATAGATGCTGCCACTTGGCCAATCCATCTCATTGGGGGTCTTCCTCTTTTTCTCTGACCCTCCACCTTACCAAACATGATATCCTTCTCCAGCGACTGCTCCCTCCTGACAATATGTCCAAAGTATGAGAAACAAAGTTTGGGCATCCTGGTCTCCAAGGAGCACTCTGGCTGCACTTCTTCCAAAATAGATCTATTGGTTCTTTTAGCAGCCCGTGACACTTTCAATATTTTCTCCAACACCATAACTCAAAAGCATTAATTCTTCTATGGTCTTCCTTATTCACTGTCCAGCTTTCACATGCCTATGAGGTTATTGAAAATACCATGGCTTGGGTCAGGAGCACCTTAGTCCTCAAGCTGGCATCTTTGCTCTTCAACACTTGTTAGGTGGACACAATTCCCTCATATCCATGACAGAGACACAAGAGAGAAATCCCAATTTGAGCAAATGCATGTTAGTCCTGTGGTTAAGTCATATGTGGCATTCCATTGACTAAAAAGTTTTGGTGACGTCCAAAGCCGTGGCAGAAGGGAGTGAATCTTTTTGATCAATAATCTGTCGTACTTTAGATGTCACTCCTTGCAGCAAGCATCTCCTGATCCCCTAAAACCGACTTGGAAGTACCACCCCATTCTTCTTGTTATTGACCTTTTCACCATCTGCCCATCCTTTCACCTGTAAACTCTGAGGCAGAAGCCACGATCTGTCTTATTTAGGCTGCATCACCTAGCACAGAGCTTGGCATGCAGTTACCAAAAAACCACGTCATCAAGTCGATTGCAACTTAGATCGACCCTATAGGACAGAGTTGAGCTGCTCCCTAGGGGTTCTGAGATTGTGAATCTTTACAGGAACACACTGCTTCATCTTTCTCCCATAGAGTGGTTGGTGGGTTTGAACTGCTGATGTTGTGGTTAACAGACCTACTTGTAACCCACTCAGCTACTGAGTCTCCTGGCATCTATTAAGTTCAACAAATATTTTCTTTGGGAGCCAAGGAAGAGCATCAACAAACAAAATAGAGCTTTCTATTGAGGGTGAACGTGGCTCCGCATCATTCTGCATAGTCATGTAGTTTGGTTGGCAGGGGCTTAGTGGACACCACACCCATGAGCAGAACTCAATGTGCAGGGAAGGGATGGGGAGAGTGTGGATCCTTTATTGCAGACTCCAGAAAGCCCG